GTCCCTCTCTACGTTCATCATGACCATGAGCAGGTGAGGTTGGAAATCTCATCGCATACGGATACGCAGAAGCAACAGTAGTGACACCCATTGGTAGAGGCCTCCTCCTCCTCCTCCTCCTCCTCCTCCTCCTCCTCCTTCTCCTCCTCCTCCTCCTTCTCCTCCTCCTCCTCCTCCTTCCTTTCTTTCTTTCAACCCCACTCCTCCCCTACTTGCATGTGTCAAGATTTGCTTCTTCATCGCAAGTCTTCTCACGGAAGTGAACAGGAGCTGTCGGCGTCGTGTGCAGTGCAATCATCGCGACCTTCATCCTGAAAGAAAAGTTTCTAAAGATTCATGCCCTAGGTGCGTACCTCCACTACCCTTCCTTGCTCCTCCTGCCTCTCCTTGCTCCTCCTCCTCCTCCTCCTCCTCCTCCTCCTCCTCCTCCTCCTCAGTCCTTCACTCACTCCATTATCGCTACCACCTTACCTTCCTCCTGCCCTTGTGCCATGTCGTCTGTCCATAGTCCCGCTGTATCCTCTGGCTGAGTCATGGAGCAGGAGTAAGCCTCATCATAGCGGGAGTCGTGCTCATCGTCTACAGCAAAGGCAACGAGGCAGTGATCGAGCCCACCATCGAGGAAGCGCTGACTGAATACTTCGGCTCTACCCAGGTGAGGATGAGCGAAGTGAGAGAGCTTGAAGGAGGAGTGGATCAGGAGGATCATCCTGTAGGAGGAGAGGGAGCGAGGACGGGGAGGGGGAGGACGATGATGGGGAGGACGGGTAGGGGGAGGACGGGGAGGGGGAGGACGGGGAGGGGGAGGACGGGGAGGGGGAGGACGAGGAGGGAGCGAGGACGAGGAGGGGAAGGACGAGCAGGGGCAGGACGGGGAGGGGGAGGTGCTGACAGGAGGTTGCAGTCGATCATATATTGCATCAGCATCTGCAGCATCACAGTCTTCCTCCTCTTTATCTGCGAGACGCATGGCAAGGCATATGTCATTTTTTACACAAGGTGAGCAACTGAAACCCAATCCCTCCGCCTTCCTCCCTCCTCCCCCCTCCCTCCCTCCTGCCTCCTGCCTGCTCATCTTTACTTGTCTTGTTCTTGTTTCTCTCTTCCTACTCTTGCTCTCACCTTCTATCTTCCTCCCTCTCCGAGTTTCCGACACTTCAAAAGTCTCACGTGCTTTCAGTCTCTGCTCGCTCATCGCCTCTTGGACGGTTCTTGGCTGCAAGTCCTTCATGGCATTTTTCCGTCGGACAGTAGAAAAGGGAGACAACCAGGTCTCCTCCCCCTCCCTCCCTCCCTCCCTCCCTCGCCCTTTTTCCGTCTCCTCCTCCTCCCGCCATCTTCTCGCTACCCCCTCCTTTCCTCCTAGTCTCCCGTGCTGTTCCTCCTCAACGTTCTCCTCTCCTCTCCTCTCCTCTCCTCTCCTCTCCTCTCCCGCCCCTCTGTTTCTTCTCTTTCCCCCCGTAATTGAGGTCAACTGACTGATCTTGTTCAGCTCACAAGAATGCCGGAGGGTCTTTTCGCCTGGTTCACGCTGCTCGTAGTGGTAAGACGAGGGATGGAAGGAGGAAGAGTAAGAGGAGCTGGGGGGATCAGGATCAGGATCAGGAGAGGAGGAGGAGGAAGAAAAGAAGATCAGGAGGAGCAGGAGCAGAAGCAGGAGGATTAGGAATAGGAGGGGGATAAGTAGCAGGAGCAGGAGCGGGAGCAGCGGGAGCGGGAGCGAGAGCGAGAGCAGGATCTGACAGGGTTGGGTCAGGTGGCGTGTGCTGTGATCTCTCTGCATTATCTACAGCAAGCGATGAGATACCATGACAACAACAAAGTCATTCCAACCTACTATGCCACCTTCACACTAGGTTACTCCCTCCTCCTCCTCTCCCCTCCTCCTCCTCCTCCTCATCCCCCCTCCTCTCCCCTCCTCCTCATCCAACACGGCTCATTCGGCTCATTCGCTGCCTCAGCCTGTATCATCGGTGCTGCCGTCGTCTACAAAGAGTTCGAGGGCCTCACAGTCCGTCAGCTTTCCCTCTTCTTCCTCGGTGAGGATACAAGGAGGGAGCGATGGCGGGAGAGAGGGAGGAAGGGTGTGACGGGCATGCAGGGCTGGTTCTCGCGGGGGCAGGCGTCTTCACCATCTCAGCCAAGAGAGCGCATGAGGAAGGGGTGCGATGAGGAGGAGGAGGAGGAGGAGGAGGAGGAGACGTTTGATGATCCTGGAGCAGGAGGATACTGTGCATGAGGAGAAGCGACACGAAAACGGAGGTGAAACTCGTTCCTCGCCCCTATAGTGTTCCCATTTCCTGCTGCTGCTGCTTCTCCTCCTCCTCCTCAGCTGACTTGCTTGCAGTTTCTAAAACAGACTCCTGGGATCGCTGGGCTCGAAATGGCGACCGGCTCAAACTCGTTGAGATGGACATGCTCAAGGCAGTTCACATAGAGAACGGGTAACTTCTCCTCCTCCTCCTCCTCCTCCTCCTCCTCCTCCTCCTTCTCCTCACCTATTCCTCATCCCCTCTTACTACTTTTCATGCAGCGACTTCACCCCCACCAAGTCTCCTCACACCAACGGCTCGTGATCAACCTGCCGCAAACTTCTCCCATGCCCCCTACAATCCCCACCCCTGCCCCCTTCTCATCCAGCTGATTTCCATCACACTCTCCTCTTGCCTCGTCCAGCTATACCCCGACAGCGTCAGCAGCCTTTGTAAATTCACTCATGACATGTCCATAATAAAAGATGCGAACACACAGATGTCAATCTCCTCCCCCCCCTCCCCCTCCTCGTCCCCCCCCCCCACCACAACCTCCTCCTCCTCCTTCCCCTCCCGCACCTCTGCTTCAGTCTGCCATGTCTGTTTCCTCCCCCATGATTCGATTGCCTTTCTCCACTGCTGATTGAGGTTTCCTCCCTCCTGCTCTTGCATCAGTACTTCACACTCTATCGCTCCCCTCGCCTCTCCTTCTCCGCCCCTCCTTCCTCCCTCCATCTCGCCTCCTTCAGTGTTGGTCCTCCCCCCCCC